CTTGAAAAGGCAGCAATTACTACCACACATGCAAGATACATTATTGCCAAAGCTAAGGCTTGATTTCCTCAGATATACCAGCCAGACTGGAACATTAGGATCTGGGATGCGTTCTAAGATAAGATGTTTGAGTCACAAAGATAAATGCATAAATAAAAAGCTCCATTAGGCAGGGCAAAATCTGTATTTTGATTGTGAGAAATTCAACTTTACATTTCAGAAACACACGCAGCACAATCTCTCCCAAAAATTGAAGCCAATTTCAAACTGATCTTTGGACTTCCAGCACGAAGAGTACCTACTGCATTAAAAACTCATCATTAATTATTGTTCAACATAGCCTGTTGGCATTTGCTTAGCCTGCAACATCCTCAGGGTGGCACAATATAATAGCTGTGCTTATACAACATCTACCATGATAAGGACCCTGTAAAAATAGAAGCCGAAGTAACTAGAGTCATTACACACATGCATACATATATGCAGTTTATGCAGATATTATTGCCAAGAAATTATTCTCCCATAAAGACAAGAATTGGATCTTGCTGCCCCAAAATGAGAATTTTACTCTAATCGCATAAAAAGAACAACTTCATAAACACAGGAAGAAAGAAAGAAATTATGCTTCCTGTGAGAAGGAAGTACATTTAAAGCACAAATAAATTGATGCAGTCAGGAGAAAAAAAATAGTATATGTAAATAGAGGTTTATTACCCATTTTTGTGCTCCCAAGAAACATAATTTACTGACCTTTGAGAGAAGGGTCAAGCAGGCTTACGGAATAAAAAACAAAGGCATCTCTTTTGGCAACTGCCATGTTCCAGAGCAGTAATTATCCTTCCCTCTCCCCGTGAGCAGCAGGAAATGAAGAGGGGTGCCATTACACTATGACAATTACTGTAATTTTGATTTCTAAATATTGCCAGGAAAGTTTCCTCTTTAAAAAAAAAAAAAAGGTCTGTTCAGATTTTGGTGTAGTTTTAGTTTAAAACTCATTCCTCAGCCAAAACAAGAGCCGTGCTTCCCCTTCTCCCACTCCTTTTTGGGAACCACCCACAAAGTCTGCATGGTGAGAAAGCCCACTTTCCTCCTGCTTCGTTGAGAAGATAGATGGCAAAGTGTGGCCAGTGAGGATTCAGGAAAGGTGGAGGTGGCCCGAAGACAAGTTGCAGATGCCGTAAGGATGCACAAACCGGGCTGTCCCTGCTAGGCACTGCCAGCGATGGATTGTCAGGAGCCCTCAGCTTTTCAGTCTAGTCTGCTGTTGGGTTTAATATTACTGAAACCTATTCAGTCAAGGGCACAATAACATACTCTTCTTGCTATGATAAGTAGATGATATTATATGCCAATAATTAAAAAGAATTAAAAAGAAGGATTTTTTTCATCTCCTGTGCTAAGAGTGATTATTGGCTATTTTGTGGAGTTTCTGCAGGCTATCATTTATTATTTTAATATTATGTATAATCTATTTTATACTATTAGAACAATGTAATATTTTATTATACCCAGCTGTTGCACTGTGGGATGGACTCAGCCCAAGAGGACTGGTCTACTCAGCTGTCCAGCCAACCCTACCACTGACCACACTGTCCCAGGACTCTGCCTGGAAGGAGGAACAGCTGCTTTGCAACCAAGGTGTGCCTGTGCCATGGGAGAAGGCGGGATTTGAGGCATGTCTGCCTCACATATAAGCAGGAACCACATCTGACCATCTCATCAAAAACATTACCGTCTCTGCTGTACGCTGCAACAGCATTTCTCATAAATGGAAAGCTGCTTTCCAGAATTCCCCTGTGCACTCCCTTCACAAGACTTCTGAGGTCTCATTTTGGCCACTGGCTGAATATTTAAAATTGCTTTCACAGATCTAAGGGAAAAGGCTTTTTTTTCAAATAGTTGCCACAATTCACATTCAACAATGATCAGTTAACAGAGTAAAAAATTGTGTCTTTCAATATATGCAGTAACAAACCATAAAAGTACATATTGGACTAAAACATATTTGATTAAGAGTTTATATAACTTCAGGCTTCAAGGAATTTTGGATCAATGCCTTTATTTTTCTTTTATAAATAAACTCAATTAAACAGTACTTACAGCAAACCATGATGGGCAGCAGAATAATTTTCCCAAAGCTACACTTTCCAATTTTTACCTGTTTTGTGGGTCTAGGGAATCAATTACTCCCTAAAGGGAACTTATTAGAGTTTGTGTTACTAAACATCTTAACTTTCCCACCCACCAATGAAGAGAAGAATTATAGGGACACATATATAGAAAAACTATCATTCTTCAAACCTCTTACAATTTTCTGTAATAAATAAAAGCATAAATAAAATAAAACAAAGCCCTGCAGGCAAACAGCATTCGACTCAAGATTGGATCTGCACCGTCAAGAAGGTCTCCCTGCAGTCTCACAAGACCCATAAATCACGTCCCCTGAACATATGTACTGTTTTGTATTACTGTATAGGGTGTTAACTTTAATGCCTTAATGTATGCACACAGTGGTCAGATTACGGTTGCTGTGGGAACTATGATTTTGCACTGTCCTGACCAGTGTGCAGCTGGAAAAATAATAAATAAAAAAATAATCACACCACTGCATTCCCTTCATCAGGTTTTATATGTTTAAGTTCTCTCTTTTTTGTATTTGAAGGAGGAAGAAAAGAAGATGTGTGAAGCTGCAAATGTATGGGAAAGCTGAAACAAACGTGAATTAACCTTCATTCTTTTCCAGCAGTCTGCATGAAACTTCATGTGTCCCCAGACCAAGCAAGCATCACTCCACGCAAAGCACAAAGAACACTCCTGGGCGCGATCAAGACTATTTCTGAGCCAGCACCATCTCACCAAGGACATACTACAACTCCCTTCTTTTTCATAATGCACTGAAGCCAACCACCAGCATTCACTCGCAAGTGACTGCTACGAGGAGAAAGAATCTGCAGTTGATCCAATTTAATGATGCTGCCTGACCCACACCAAATTGTTGCCCTTAATGGTTGGACTCTTACCTGTTCTAAGGTAAAGGGGTTTGTCTCCATCTTATTCTTCCTCCAGCCTCCCTTTACCTCCAACCCCATCTTTGCTTGCCTCCAAAATGAGTACTTTTACCCAACATCTTGTTGTGTTCCTCTATTAAAACTACTCCTTTCTACAGAAGGTTGGTTTTGGAGTCATTAACCATTTTCAACCTACCTAAAAAGTTGATTTCACCCAGGCTTACTCCAGGTGCAGGGATGCACAACATCTATCCAACAATTAGGTCTCTTCATCCTATTAGCACTGGTTAATGGCCAGCAGTGTCCCACATGACATGGAACCGCCATGGCCATGTAACCCTGGGGTAGTCCATGCAAGACCTGAGCCGTTCTAACTTCTGCAATACCCTCCACCAACAGTAATCTAACAAAGTTGGTTAAAAGCACAAGAATCAGTATACTATAGATGGCATGAACACAAATTGCAGCTAATTTGCCCAAAATAAACCCCCTTATCTCCAAGCTCAATCATCAAAGCTAATAAATGTTTGATGTCTGCTGGATTTGAACACCATTCAGGAATATGCTATTTGTGACCAGGCACAATACCCATATTCGTAAGAGATCACCAATTGGTGGACAAAAATAAGATATAACATTTCTATAAATCCATAGCCGTAAGTAACATCTGTGCTCAATCACTCTAAAAGGTAAAGGAATACATTAACACTTGGGCACACAAATTCCTTCATCTCATTAGCGCAACCACCTAACACCAAGTGACAACCAGGTCTGATACAGAATCGGTATTCCTTGAAAACTATCTAATATTAAAACTCTGGTGCACTGAGTTACCCTAATGGTAGGGTCTTTGGTAGCATCATTCCACCATTGTTGTCCAAGAAGAATTAATGTTATAAAGAACAACTATTTCTTATATTTTTCTTACATACACATTAAAGAGGACATAGAAAACCAGGTGACACAAAAAGGTAGGGAATGAAAATTCATTAGAAAAGTAGATAATCTGCTAATTGCCCCTTAAAAGAAAGGCAAGAGTATCCAGAATAACAGAAAGAATGACTGAAATTAGTCATGTAGTTCTGTTTTTTGGTGTCATGGTATCAGTTGCAAATACCCAAAAGAATTTTAGTGAGTAGGACTTGAAAGGCCAACTTAATCTCTGCTGGATCCACGCTGCAGCTAAACGATCTGGTGCCATCAAACCTCTCGCTGAAATTTGAGGCTATTTCTTACACGCACAAACATTTCATATGTAGCATTTTGCATTGCTGTTCTTGAAAGACCACACACATGTGCATATGTACACACTTACATACCTTTACAGTATTAATCATGTTACATATGTGCACAGGCAGACATACATTTAATTATATTTTCTATATATACACGTGCATGTACATATAAAACGAAATACATGCACAAACCCATAATGCATACAGTCTGATTACACGCAGTATTTATTCATTAACGAAGTTCCTAATATAGGTAAAAAGAGAAAGAAACCCACATTGTTGGCATATGTAAATTAATAGCTGACTACAGCGTAAGGCAGCCAAAGAACACAGGACACATGATCCCTCTTAAAACTAAGGACAGGGGTTTGATAAAAACTCCTCTCACTTCCTTCCGTGAAATTGCACTTGGGAGTGTGATTTCACTTAGCCAAAGGGTCCAGCTCCCAGGGAAGCAGTACAGGACTATTCCTTGAGATATTTCAGAGTAAGCAAACCTCCCATCAAGAATGGAAAAACAGGCCCATGAGAACAACAAGGCAGAGAATAATTAAACAGGTCCTACATACGTCTTTTTTTTCCTGTGTCCTGTATCTTCCTCCTCCAAAGATGTCACACAGCTCTATTAGAAAAACCACCTCACTGGCTTCAGTGTAGGCAGTGAAGGAGCACTCTTCAACATCATTAGTGGGGTTGGAAAACAGCCCTTTTTTACCAATGTGCTCTCTGTCAAACACAAAGACACATGTGAACTTACCTGTTTGGTACTTCTCTGCCCAGTAGGAAGCAAAGCTTTGGATTTCTCTGCTATTTTCTGTATTAAAAAAAAAAAAAAAAAAGAGGGAAAATGGTTGAGAAAAAAAGAGTCCAGCTATTTAGGGAAGGAATCATATGAAACTATTTCTTTTGTATTTTAAAGAAAAGGACACAGAGAAAACTATCCCTATTTAGAAAAAAAAAAAAAAAGGACTATAACTGCATTGAAAAGTTTGGTCTTGCAGGAATTAAAAATCTTCAAAGCTTCCAGAACGACAAGGTTATAAAAAATGAAACACGCATTTAAGAAATGACAGCTAGGACGTGGATAAGTTGTAATTTACCAGTCAGATTGGTTTCCTGACGCAACCGGGCATTCACAAACTGCAGTGGCTAATTTTGGTGCTTCTGAATTGATGACAGTTTGAAAAAAAATACCCAAAAACCTATATGTACAGTTCAGATAGACTGTGCTTATGAACATTAAAAAAAAAACATTGAAAAGGTGTGTGTCTATGGAGGTGGAGCTCTTTACCTGAATCCTTCAAAATTTTCATTTAATGGGATAATTTCATTTAAAAACCCTACCCTTAGGTCTTTGAATAGGACAGAGAAATAATTAAAAACATGAGATGGCACTAGAGATAGTGCAATGCTATTACATAATATACATTGCTGTTGAAGTGCAATTTTACATACAATTTCTTTATTTAATTAATTATTTATAAGCCATAGGCAGCAAGTGTTTGGAAATCAATCAGTACAGCGTTTTTCTAATAAGGACACATTATGAAGCGCATGTGGCCAGCCAAATTGCATTAGACCTGTAAAATTACAATAGATTCTTCCTACGTCTTGCAGATCATTAGGTCAATCTCACTAAAGTCGTATAAGAAATCAACCAGAGTTTGTCCAGGTTGTATTTGCATAGGATTCAATTAATTCCAATACATATTCTAACTTGTTAGGGCAGGGGAGGGAAGCAGTTTCAGGATGGTAAATTTAAATCATTACTACAATGTTTAAAAGCAAAGCAAATTTGCTTATCCATAAACACACACACAACCCCCAGGGTAAAGTGGGAGAGCAAGAAGCAAATTAAAGAGCTGGAGTTGAGGTTTCATTTGTTTTATTAAACAGTTTGATCTTGGTGACGAGTCCAAACCACAGGATGTGTCTGGAAACCTCCTGGCAAAGCCATGTAACACAGCAGAGCCATCAGGTGGGTTAGCAGTTAAATTAGCAATGTTGCCTACACATTGCTTACACACAAGGTGGAAGAGGCACTGTGCAATCACTTCTCCCCAAAAGTGACATACCAAAATATGTCACGGCGAAGCCAGGGGTACCACTGAAGGTCCCATGTGTGCGCATATTCCAATGTAATGAAGCCCCGATTGATAAACTAAGAAAAGAGGGAGGAAACTCAGTGCAGGATTGCTGCACGCCCCTGGGAGCCATGCATGCTCCCGCGTAATACATTTCCAAACTCACATACAGAATAGTGAAGGCAAGAAGGACCCTCACCTTCTGCACAGCTCCGTATCTCTGGATGGCATCTGAGAGCTGGTTCTTCAGCCTGTCCAGCTGAAGTCGCTCTTGCTGTTTTGGAAAAACAGAAACCTGGTTAACAGATCCGTAGAGATAAAACAAGTAGTAGACTCTGTGACCATGGGAAATACACCAATTAAACAAGCTGGGCATAAATGGTATTCTAAAAAATTCAATTTCACTGGGGCTGCCAGGGTGCTACAAGGTTTTATTTTAGGAAGGGAGCGCAAGATGCTTTGATCTTTCAGGCCAAGTCAATTAAAAAGAATGCCACCTTGCACAGAATCATAGAATCATAGAACGGTTTGGGTTGGAAGGGACCTTAAAGCTCATCTAGTTCCAACCCCCCTGCCATGGGCAGGGCCCCCTTCCACTAGACCGGGTTGCTCAAAGCCTCATCCAACCTGGCCTTGAACACTTGCAGGGATAGGGCATCCACAGCTTCTCGCGACAACATGTTCCAGTGCCTCACCACCCTCTCCATGAAGAATTTCTTCCTGATATCTAATCTAAACCTCCCCACTTTCAATGTAAACCCATTACCCCTTGTCCTGTCACTACAGACCCTTGTAAAAAGTCCTCTCCCAGCTTCCTTGTAGCCCCTTCAGGTACTGGAAGGCTGCAACGAGGTCTCCTCAGAGCCTCCTCTTCTCCAGGCTGAACAAGCCCAATTCTTGCAGCCTTTCATCATAGGATATTCAAGATGGCACTCAAGCCATGGCTACTGTGTTGTCTGCTGTCTGAGACAGATACCTTCTGTGGCAGGGATATATAGTGGGACATTTTGCTGTCCTGCTTACTGCACGAAGGGGGTCTCACTGCAATACCAGTTTTTAAAGATTGTGAAACACCAGCAAGTAAATACCCTACTGTCATGAAAAGAATAGGATGGTTGTAACATGGTATCCTGCTTCTACTTACTAAAATCTGACCTCGAATTATCTGCTGGAGATGATAACCTAAGGGAAAGTCCTATAAAAATTCCTTTATTTGGATAATGTCCCATGATGGAGTTCATCACTTCATTTGATGGCAATAGGTAATTTACTGTACTTCAGAGGTCCGTCAGCCACAGCAACCTTCCTTCTGCCTGGTCTAGCACCTGATTATCAGAAACCAACACCATGTTTTCCAAAACACATCACCAATGTCACCACCTTTCTGTCTGGAGGTTTTCCCAGCAAGATCATAGAATCACAGGATGGTTTTGTCAAAGGTACAAATCTATGATGCTCAATCCGAGCCATATTTAAAGGGTACCCACTGAAAATATCCATTAACTCCTGAAGGCCCTGCAGAACCCCACATTTGCATGACAACCTTTCATTAGTAAGGCTTAGTTCTTTTGTGTAGATGCTCCGTGAGAGAGAAAAATGTTTATCATACGTACCTCTAGTAAAGGCTAAGTAATGCAGCCCCACCAATGCATGACATTAACAGAGGCAACAGCATTAATATTGAACTTCCCTGTAACCACAACCTGGATTCTATTTCTACCTTTTCTTGAGCAAGGAGGTGTAATCCAATTCCTCTCATTTTTGGCTGCATTAGCAACGTTAGTAACTTTCATTAAATATACGTGAAGAAATTTTGAGGTCTTTGGTAATTGATATATCAGCTTGGCTTAATAGAATGGTGCAGCTGACATTTCTGTATAGGTAAGTCCAAACCAGAAAGTAACTGAGAGCTGGGGCATGATATACAAGACAACTACGACACAGAAGATGGAAGGAAGATTTGTCCAGGACAGTTCTTTTGCTGGAAGCAAGTAAAAAAGCTCTTTATGAAGTGCATTTGCATAGGTCACACTTTGATATCAATTATTTGTGTTAAGAATGTTTCAACCATAAATCAACATGAAAGATCTAGACACATCTCATCTGAGCAAGACGCTTTCAGGTATCATCAATGCAAAGCGACAAAATGTCACAATAAAAGGCAGTGTTAAGAAAAAGTGAGATCCACCAGAATTACTTAAGGATCCCAGCTTTATAACGACCTAACTATGTCACTACTTTATGCCAAATTACTTCTTGTTGAATGATTTTCACAGATGATTCACATCAGAAACGTTTGTCTCCATCCAAACTGCTCTCTTATCCCACTCAAAGGCATTTCTGCCGGTGGTTTCACTGGGAGTGGAACCAGTTCTTACAGTTAATGTGTTTGCAAATAAATGGATGTTTTAAACAAAAGTGTTCTCAGAAGGAAGACCCCTGTCTAGCCTGACAAGCCATCCAACATGTTGCAAAATCACTGCTCTCAGATGAAGTGACAAAGCCCAAACTGTGAAGTGTGTCAGGCTGATCCCTAGGCAATGGAAATTCTCCTGGAACTAATCTCCCCTCCTGGATCTCAAACTTTAGGCGTGCAGGAGTTCACATGTCCAGGTTTTACAGAGGGGAATGAGCTGTGAGGAACTGGGGTGCCACCTTAAAAACCAAGGAAGTAAACAAAACACAGTCTACACTACAGCTACTGAGCAGACCTGTTCATTTTGCAGCAATTTCAGCTGCTTCAGACAACTGCTGAAGAATACAGAAGTAAATTTCATAAAGGATGGGATAAACATCTTTAATTTTTAATGGTAGTATTTTCATACACAGAAGAATATCCCAGTCTTACATGTCTTCATCCAAAGATTTAAAACCATTGTTAGAACAGGGCAAGTATCTTTATTCCCATTCTACAGACAAAGTCTATAAAACTGTTTGTTACACATGCAAACTAAGATAAGATTGCCACCCTGGAAAGCTGATCTAATGGTCCAGCAATTGTCCTACAAAAACCTGGAATTCCAGATAGGCCTCTCTATTTTACTCCTTTGAGGTTAGTTTGAAAGGAAGCCCTAAAATAGCCATGTGCTATTTTACATCACTATCCTGCCTTGTATAACACTGATCCACTTACATCCCGTATCTCTGCTCCTGAAATACTATCAATTTGCTCAGTTGGGCATCCTGACTCCAGCAGCACCTGGAGATTCAAGGGAAGTCAGAGAAACTCCCACAGTGCACCTTGTTGGTGGTGCATTACTGTTGGAAAATAAGGAAGAAAGAGAAAAAAATATGTTGTCTGTGGGTGCACACAAAACGATCCACAGAATAACGGATCGGAAAGGACTGAATATAAAACTCTAAATAAATGGAAGGCTTTTCATGCTGTGAGAAATTTTACGGCAGGAAAGTTTGCAATGCTACCCAGAGCCCCAAGAGGGACTTAGTGACCAGCAGCCGGTATCCACCAGAACTATTTACTCTGTGTGAGGGAGGAGGGCTAGAAGCTTTATATCAAAATTTGTAGTTTTAATTACTTAAACTGCACACTGTTAGAAGAGTTAAAAAAATAAAATCTGTTAAATTAATTGACCGGGGAGCAGAAAAAGTTATTATGTGATGCCAGAAGAGAGTGGCAAGTTTCTTCCTTATATTACAGTAATTGTTTGTGTGTCTATTTCCTTCAGCTCTTAAATATTCTCCCTTTAATGCAGCAATTTTACTCCCCATGACAGTAAAAGCTATTCGGCTAAGAGCCCTCAGTGAACACTACATAGGCTTCAAGGGCAAATAATAACATTCTTGTGTGGCACTATCCAGGTTTAACATGATCTTGCCTGATTTCCCTTTGGACCCAATTTATGTCATGAAAGAGAGCCAGGAGATCAGGAAAAAACAGCCCAGACTCTCATATCTCCAAGACTACAACTTCTGTTTTATCAAGCTTTTATGTTATTATTGGCAGAGTATGGATGAAAAAGGAACAATAGACCTCGTAGCCCACCGCTGATCAAAGCAACATGTTAACGAAGACCAAAGTATTAAGACTGCTGCCTGCATAAGATTGATGTCTACACATGGAGAAAAGTCATTCCAGGCTTTCCTCCCCCTTCTCTGGAGTAGGTCATCATCCATTCATTTTTTTAGGTGGGCTGAATTGCACGTGGTCCTCCTCTGGTTACAAAAGTAGCCTGGGTTGATTCAGCTCTTAAAACCTCATCTCAGATGCCTATTCACAAGAAACATAAATCCAGGCTGTAAAAAACACTTGGACAGAGATGAGTTTTGTGCCTAGAGCAGTGTTTTTTCTAGGTGGAAGGGCAGTGAGAACAGAGTTGAAGTTACAGGACTTTGGAGAATGGCAGGAAGTGAGTGAGGGTACAACACCAATTCAGGGAAGTTCCTGACCAGAAATTACATGGATGCTGGAAGCAAGAATGTAACAGAAAACTGCTAGGCAGAATCAAAGAGAAAAGAATTGTCCTTATTCTCATTTCAGTTGCTGAATTATTGGTTATGTGGGTGAAATTTCTCCTCAACTCTAACACCAACTGGAGTTTGCCCTCCACAGAAGTTTCTGGTCTTCCCCAAGATACATACC